AGGTATGTCGATAGGGCTTTCGTCTCGCCTCGCCCTGGAGATCGCGCTGGACCAATCGCGCAAATAAGGTCGGGGCGATATGCTTGATGTCGACTTTAAGGGGTTGTAAAGCCTCAGGCTGAACTCCAGCCGCAGCTGGGGTCCCGGTTCCCGTCTTAGTTTCTGGCTCAGGCTCGTGCTCTGTCTTTGCCTCGGACTGGGGTTCAGGCTCAGCTAACCAGAGATACGGCCGTGATGTTTCACGCGAGCGGAATGCCTCGTCATCCACATAGAGGAAAGAGTCGCGTCGAAAGCCAACAGGAATTTCGTTATTTGGGAGCATTGTGCTGAACCTGCCCCGTAGTGCACTCGGGTCCAGGCTGTTATTACTAGTACTACCTGGAACAGCCACCCAGTGCAATGCGAACCGGTCTCTCGTCTCGTCCTTAATCAACCTCGCTGAATGGTGCAGTCCATGGTAAACAGCCGTTTCAATCAGGGATCTATATTCTGAAAGGCGGCCTCGTTCCTCTCCCTCGTCTTTCGGGTAGAATACCACGAGACCAAAGCGACCACCTGCTTCACCAGGGCCAGATCCAGAACCAGGGGCAGAATCACGCGCTGAAGCTGAAGTGGACTGCAGTACATGCTCCTGCCAGGGAACCTTCAAGGCAAACAGAATATTCCTAACGTCGTCATCGTTCAGCGTTTTGGCCGCCTCCAATTCCACCTTTCGCCATCGCTGCAGAACCCTCTGCGCCACCTCCATAGCAGCCCGAATATCGTCCGTCCGCGCTGCTACTATAGCTCGAGCCTTAAGGTCCCGATCTTCAGGAGAAAGGCGCGCCACCTCGGACAGGATACGACCCGATTGTCCCTCGACTACGCCGGTCGTTAAGAGACTGGCTTCTTTATTGCTTAGGCCGAGGTTGCTAAGCGGGATGTCATCACTGGTATTGTTGCTGCTATTGATGGCTTTGGTAATTAGTTCGCCCATGGACAAACCGCAGGCAGTTCGACAGAGGGTGTCTTCCTCGTCTGGTGGGGGCCGGTAGGTGATGAGTCGACGTTCTTGATCTGTTAGTGAGGAGGGGTTGGAGATGGCGCGGTTGTAGAGGGTGCGTGTTGATTCATCTAGGACTAAAGGGGTGGTATCTGCGGTTATGCTGAAAGGGTTGGTCTCTCCAATATTGATGGGAAGCCACATTATGTTGATAACTGATTATTTGATTATCTAGAAAGAAGAGGATTATTGTGTGCAGGGTCTTTGGGGTAGCAGAACTAGACTGCTGTTGTCTTAAGCAGCATGGATAGTCTAACTTAAAATAGCCCTCATAGTAACAACTTATACAACTATCAAAATATAATTTGTAAAAAATAAAATATAAGACTTCATAATTACCAAATCAGAATAAAATTAGTGCCCAAGTTGTAGATGCTAGATGAACAGGATAGAGCATATAGTACAATTCGAGAGGGCAAAGGAATACATGTCATGCAAGCACAAGAGGTATGCTTACTATATTAGTTACGGTGTGGCTGGTCTGGGTGACTCAGGCCAGATTCAGCCAAATATGGAAACTCTTTCCAGTCTCCAGGCTCATCCTGTCGCCAGCTATGAAGATAACATTACGTATTACTGGGGCAAGGTAGGCTGGTCCTCTGCAGATTGCGCGAGGGCACTAAGGAATGGTGTATGACCTGTGCTTCAGCCTGGAGTAGTACTCCACTCACTGTCTCAGTAAGTACATGATGACCTGGCTTACTGTCTTTACCACAGCAGCAAGTCTGTAATCATTTAAGCAGCAAAACAATGCTTCAATACCAGCCTTCTTCTCAACTTGATTATGAGATTCTGATAAAATTGCATGACACTACTTCTCAAGTAGACAACTAGTAGACAATAGGAAGGTGTAGTCGTGACAATCTGGGGAAAAGAAGTGAAGCCACCAATGGCGGAAGGCGATAAAGGGACTGACTAAACTCTCCACCGCCTCCGCTCCTTCGGCGGCATTTGGATTGCGCTGTTCATTATTCCCTTTCCCTCTTCCTTCTTCTTATCTCCGGATGTCTTTCCCTTCTCCAACCCCTCTTTTTTCTTAATTTCTCCTTTAATTCTCCCTCTCCAACTAACTTCTTCGCTGATTTGTTTTCCGTTCCTTACCGACTTCCGAGCACATCTCCCGCTGCACCGCTGGTTCGAGTGAACTTCAACCGACTATGGTTGGTTGATCACCCGCAATCTTTTGTCGTGTGGCCACCTTCAATCCTTATCTACCGCCTCCAAAAGAACTACTTCTACCACCTCCTCAACACAACTCGACTCTTCCTCCAACTTACTCCCTCACCATGATGGACGACGAAGCTTCCGTCGGGATTGGCTCCCCTCGAGCCGGTTCTCGAAGGTAACCTATACTACCCCCAATTCGTAGTACTTCCCCTGCTCCCAAGCCTTATCGCTGACAGGTACTCATCGGTCGCAGACACGGCGGCAAAGGGAAACGAAGCATCGGACATCATGGCGACGCCAGTTGGGTCAGCTGTGTGATCAACTTGGTCAACACAAGTAAGTCGGGCCGGAACTCATATACCTTAACTCCGCAATCGTTACTGACTCATGCTCTGTCCTTGCCTATTAGTTATCGGTGCCGGTGTTATGGCCATGCCGCTGGCCATCTCTCATATGGGAATCGTCCTCGGTGTCTTTGTGATTCTGTGGTCGGGAATGACCGCAGGTTTCGGTCTATATCTCCAGTCTCTATGTGCCCGATATCTCGAACGAGGCACTGCATCCTTCTTTGCCTTATCCCAGATCACCTATCCTAATATCGCTGTCATCTTCGATGCCGCCATTGCGGTCAAATGTTTCGGAGTCGGTATCAGCTACCTTATCATCATTGGCGATCTGATGCCGGGGGTGGTTCAAGGATTCGTTGGAGGTGCTCCCGACTATGACTTTTTGGTGGACCGGCATTTCTGGGTAACAGCCTTCATGTACGCTGACTACGGGATTGAGTGCGTTGGACAATGCTAACTAGTTTTAGGCTGATTGTTATCCCTCTCTCATACCTCCGCCGCTTGGATTCGCTCAAGTATACAAGTATTGCAGCTCTGGTCTCAATGGCCTATCTGGTGGTTTTGGTCGTATACCACTTCGTGAAAGGGGACACCATGGAGGACCGTGGTCCGGTTCGAGTGATTCACTGGGCAGGCCCTGTGCCTACCCTCAGCAGTCTGCCTGTGATCGTTTTCGCGTTTACATGCCATCAGAACGTATGCTTCGAGACCCACAACCCAGATCTTCACTTCCATGGTTCATTGCTCTGACGTGCACCACAGATGTTCTCAATTTTGAACGAGATCGGCAACAACAGCCATTTCCGAACCACCGGTGTAGTCTTGGCCAGTATCGGCAGTTCTGCCGCCACATACATTCTTGTGGCCATTACTGGGTACCTCTCCTTTGGAAACAGTGTCGGCGGAAATATCGTGAGCATGTACCCACCGGGTCTTTGGGCCACGATTGGCCGCGCTGCTATCGTCATGCTTGTCATGTTCTCGTATCCCCTTCAGTGCCACCCGTGCCGGGCTTCTGTTGACGCAGTGCTGCGCTGGAGGCCCAAGTCCTCGTCCAATAGCGACACCTCCCCTCACCGGAACCCTCTCCTGGGGCAGAGGGGCGGCCGCACTGCGGAGCCGATGAGTGACCTCCGATTCTCGATCATTACGACTACCATCCTTGTCCTGAGCTACATTGTGGCCATGACTGTGTCTTCTTTGGAGGCCGTTCTTGCCTATGTGGGCAGTACAGGAAGCACCAGCATCAGCTTCATTCTCCCCGGATTGTTCTATTACAAGATCTCCTCTCCCGATTCGCCCCACCACCAGCGTCTGATGAAAGAAGACGACGAAGCAGCGGAAGGTATGCTATCCGATGATAGCAACGACGAAGACGGAGAAGAGAGCGTGCAGGCACGCCCTCTAACCGACAGCGGCATCCTCCGCCGAGGAAAACGCAACTGGCGCCGAAACCTGCTACGAAAGTTAAGTTTGGCGCTCGTAGTTTACGGGGTGGTGGTTATGGTCGTATGCCTGATCACGAACTCTGTTTTCATTGCTTCTCACTAGACGGGTTTTGGTTTGGTTTTGGATGCGGGGAAGATGAAAAGATCTGGATGCGTTCCATTTCCGTCCACTAGCTTTTTGGCCCTCGTGTGAGGTGACATTCTCCGCTTTCCTACTAAATTTAGACACTCCCTACCAATTTTCTTTTCTCAGGTTTATTTCTTTGTTACTTGCATCTATTGGTTTCCTTTCGGGTTCGCGATCTAGATCTGGGCTCTCTTCGTCCAACGGTTACAATGTTGGGGTTTATGCACGCTATACCATTGCACCGGCGTTGGGGTTCGTGTTTGGTCCGGTTTAGATTAACGTCTTAAACCTTGGAATACATTTCTCAATCTAATGATGCCTTTACTCTATTCCCAATTATATCTCTTGCTTTTGGCCTGATCTAGTTAGCTTGCCCTGGCTCTGTAAAGTTATCTCCTATGAATCTGGTTCCTTGCTTCCCATAGATACATACTCCGGTTCATTTAGATCAAAGATAAATACAGAACTTATTGAATTCGATCTACTACCCATCACATACAACTAAACTACCAAGCACTACTACAGGCACAGAAGTATTATCACAGAGGTCATTGCAACTATAGAATGGATGTCAATAAACAGGCTTGTCTGAACGAGTGAAGAGAAGTAAACAGAACAACGCAACTAGAACTAACGGATGAGTACAGTAGTATCATTAGGCAATACAAGCAAGTCAGGCGAGGTATTTTATCACCGCGTCAACATAGAAGAGAGTCCAGTCCATCTCATGATCACTCACTCACTGCGTTTCCCCATCCATCATCACCACCACCAGCAAGTAGCACAATCTGTATAAAGGGACACTTACCCCCACTAAATACCACCCTTCCTCCATCCACCATCAAAACAACAACCAGGTTATAATCAACCTAGTTATTATTCTGACTATTCAGAATCCTCAAGATCGCCAAAAACAGATTCAAGATATCCAAATACAGCGAAATGCTGGCGGCAATCTCCTCCTCAACATGATAATGCCTCATCACCAACTGTGTATCAACAAGAATATACGCCGAGAAAATCAGCGCCGCAAGACCCCCATAAATCAGCTCGACAGTGCTATTGGCAGGGAAAAACACAGCCACGAAGCCAAACAAGATCAGGAACCACAGGCCACCGAAGAGGTAGGGCATCCAGTTAGTAAAGTCGTACTTGGTCTGGCAGGCGAAGAGGGTGAGAGCGACGAAGAGACCGAGGGTGAGAATGAGGGCTTGGATGACGAGCCGGGCGTCGTAGAAGGAGGTCACGACGCTGATGGAGTAGGCTTCAAGGAGGGTGAATCCGGATAGGAAGAGGAGGTTTGCCGGGTAGGATTTGCGCTTCCAGTAGGTGACGAGCATGAAGCCTAGGGCGCCAAAGACGGAGACCATCATGAGCCAGAAGTTGGATTGGATCCAGAGGCGGTAGCTGGGGGAGAAGAAGGAGATGGAGCTGAGGATGGTGGTGAGGAGGAGTTGGGCCGTTCTGTTTGTGATTACTCTCTTGTCAGTTTTGTTCTGATGATATTCTCGATTATTGCTTTCTTGGGGTGGATGTGGTGGTGGTGCTTACAAGATGGAATAGACCTTCCGGATGAACTGCATACGGATGGGCAAGGTGCCCTCCGCGACGGTGCCGCCGAACTAATCAATCACATTGTCAGTTGGTTTTGTTCTCCCAGATTATGCAAGCTTCTTTGTTGAAAGTGGTGGTGTATGTACCTTGAAATCGTCAGGAACATTGTCGTCCTCGCTGCGTGGCGCTGCTTGCGAGTAGTCGGCCGTTGCCTGATAAGACGGCGGGGGTTGGGGATAGGCGCGCTCCTCGAAGGAGTCGCGCTGCGGAGCAGGCTCGTATCTGGTGTTAGCTGCCATTTGCAACTGCGATGAGTTTCAGTTGTCTCCGACGCTGTCAGACTAGTAGTATGGATGGAATGAGTTGATGGGACAGTCTGTCATATTAGATAGTAGGATAGACTAATCGGGGAAAGGAAGGAGAGGAAAGAGAGGGCCGAGAACCGCTGCGGCGCCGCGGCTCAACGGCGCTCCGGGGCAGGTGACGTCGGTGGTGTCACCTGATGGTATCAGTGCCTTAGGCAGAGGTTTACTATCGCCATCTAGTATGTTCTAGTAGTATGCATAAGATTCACTACGAATACACTACTGGATTGGTCTATACTACATGATATATGAGGATTTGATTACGGAACTCTTTTAGGCTCATAGTAGTTCTATAGTGCTCCATTAACTCCTATCATATGCCTCTATTATGTTAGTATGTATCATATCTATCGTAATAAGTATATATATGCCATCAAAAAGAAATCGTAAAGCAAGTTGTCACCCGTTAGTCACCGTCTTCTTCCCCTCTAGTTTCGCTCTTCGTGAAACGGAAGCTCTTCCATAATCACATCATCATCCAAGGACGCTCTGCCGTCGTGGTATTCATCGTCAGTGGAGTCATCCGGGGTATCCTCTGAGCCACGGAGTGGCTGATCGCCTGGATCTTGGCCCGGACGCTTCTTCCGCTGAAAGTCCTGTGCATGCGCTGAAGCCAGCAACGAGCCGACACGGGAGAGGCCGCGATTGCGGACCGACATGCCTGGAGTGGACGGGGTGCCGTGCTCCACATCGTGTGCTTGCGGTTGCTGCTCTTCCAGCGGCACACCATCTGCTTGTTGGTCAACCTGCGCTGGCGGGAGGGAGACTTGGTATGGCAGAGGCACATCCCTGGACGCCCGGAAGAGCAGGACGTTGGTGCAGTGCTCATTCTCCACACGGAAGACCGTCCAGATACCTCGTCGGCAGACTTCGGACAGCGCAACGAAAAAGCTGAGCAACGCGGAGTGCTGCATATCCCTCGTGAAGATAGCATAGAAGATCCAGTTGAATCGCACAATGACGTCGATGACCATCGCAACATAGTATACCCATGCTTGACGGAACGCCAGGACATCGCGCAGCAACGGGCGCTTGGCGTAGGCGTTCCCCAAACTCCAGTCCATGACAAGGTCCCAAACCGACACATACACGGCGTTGAGCAGCGCAAAGGTGATGAACGTAGCCTGGAAGCGTTCCGATTTATCGATGCGATACAAGCTCAGAGTGACATAGTACAGGATGGTGAACGTGTATTTGCCAAAGTTCAGCAAATGCGGGAAGACATTCCTAGTATCTGCGTAACGTCGCAGACACTGCAAAGCTCTCCAGATGCCCGGTAGGCAGGTAAAGAACCCAAGCAGCCTGGAATGCGAAGAATTGCACTGGGGAGGGTCACCCCAATAATGCGCGTAGAGACAGAAGAATAATTCGATATTCTAACACAAATCAGCCACAACTAGTTAATGGAACGACAACTGGGTTACTCACACCCATGGCGTATGTCTGGGAGCAATACATGTCTCCCAGAAAGAAATCACGGAACTCAACCGGATAGAACCCTGCCAGAAGCAGACGCCACTAGATTCGTTAGCAGTGACTTAGGATCCGCCATGGGCGGCTTCACTCACATTAGAATATGCCCACCATTTGCGGCTGCGGTGATATAGTGTCCGCACGGGCAGGAAAAGAAGGACTGTGGTCAAGCCGACAAGGACAACAGGCCAATAAATATACATGCTATTAATTGACATGAAATTGAGCCACATGCAGAGACCCAGCAGAAAGAAGAAAAATGACGGCAGCTGTTACAGTCAGACACAGTCAAAAGCCCACGATGAAGCACCTTACCTCAGTAAGCTGACGCCAGTCTAATGCATGCCTGGTATCATATTCAAACACAAAGACGTAGTTGATCTTGGCCCGAGTCCAGACCATACAGTCTAGGCAAAACAGTAGGAAATGAAGTACAACGAGAAAATAGCCCCCATATATCTGCGCACAGTTAGCTAGAAGCAGGCATTCAGAACGATAAATACTGACCTGGAGCAAGTAGCTTGTGTAAGTCTTTAGTTCACCATCCCGATCATGAAGGTTCTGCACGGCATATACTAATGACTGAGCACCAAACAGGACACCGCCCATCAAGAGCACACCGGCACGGAACGTGCATGGAGAATAATCTCCGGATTTATTGATAGTGTGGCGCAATTTTGAAGCGGCGATCTTGCGGTTGCCGCGCTCGAAGTAACGAGCGTACAGGTCCTCTGCAGCGGACAGCAGGTTCTCAGTGACCTCGCTTTGAACGAACCACGACTTGTTCACTTTCTCAGACATGTATCTCTGCGCAGGACGCGCATTAGTAGTCTTGTCATATTTCTTGTTGATCTTACGAAAGGCAGTCCTGTTCAGGTAGGCGTACGCCTTCAGCAGCTCCACGCCGCGGTAGTACTCCTGAAGCGCGTGCTTCAGCTTCCTTTTAGCGGAGCGATAGGAGACATCGCTGTTGGTCGGGTCCTCGGGCCGACGGATGAAATCGCGACGCGACACTGTATGGTCGGGATCCTGTCCTTGTAAGGCTGCTGACGGAGTGCCCAACTCTGCAAGGGCTTTAGAGTTCTTCCCGAAATGACGTCCAGTGAGAGCGCCGCGTATGCCGAAGCCAGCGAGGCCACCTAGAGGACCGAATGCATGAGACTTTGGCATTCCGTCTTTCTCTGGCCGGGCCAACTTGGCACCTAGAACTTCCTGTGTGCGTTGGTCCCGCATGATATGCAGCTGATGACGAAGCACTTTGAGGCGTTCTGCGGCCTCCTCTTCCTTCATCTGATAGAAGGATTCTATTTTGGTCAACTCGCTATCCAAGAAGGCGAAGAACTCGTCCTGGCGCTTCTCGAACTCAGAAGATCCATCCGCTCCACGCTTCTCTGGGGGTTCCCAGTCCGGATAGGACAGGACGCGCTGGAGCAACGATCCTCTCCGGTTTGGAGGGCCTGGGGTTGCATTCCGCTTATGATCCTTCTGGGGCGTCGCAGGACTCCGGTGAACTATGCCCTTGGTCGCAGTTCGTGTGCTCGCATGTCGCGACATCACCGGCGACGGAGTCTCAGGTACACTGGTCTGCTCCGCATCCCTCTCCGACGAGTAGTCATTATGCTTTGGGTCGATTGCGGGATCTGGCAGTCGAAGGGAGGCGACATCCGATGATGCAGCGTTCAGTGGAGGAGAGGGAACGATACTTCCGTAGCTTCCAACGACGCCCGAAAACCGAGACCCAGGTACTCGCAGGGGCTGACGCTCACTGCGGCTAGAGCCCGAGCGCGGTGAGCGTGGCGTAGGACCAGTGCTTCTTATAGGGGTGGAAGGAATGTGGGAGGGATCATTGGCATCGAGTCTGCTACTGGAGCGTCGGAATGGGGACGGGCCATCAGAACCAGCAGGACGGTCATCTTGGTCGTCATGCGCGGCAGCATTGTTTTGTTGTAGAGAGGGATGACTGGGGCTTCGAGAGGTTTTTTGGAGAGCGCGAGAGATCGCTTTGACTTTCTTCTTGCCGGTCTAGAAGGTTTAAAAAAGCAAGAGACCCGTTAGCATACAAATTGTAGCTTTGAGAAAAGAAGAAAGAAAAAACGTCAGTACGGCAACGGACATACTGACCTTATAGTCTAGATATTTGGCGCGCCACTCTGGAACCAGTTGCTGCTCCAGCTCCCTAATTTCGAACAGCTGGTTATTCTGAATTCTCAAACACAAACTTCAGGTAGTTGGAAGGAATGAAACTAACTTGGCGAATTTCATCGTGAGCAAATGGAGCTAGAGCCGGGCATGATACTAAACGCAAACGAGCAAACGGTGGGCACGAGAGTATATAGCAGAAGCAACGATCGCATTGGCGACGAGTCACGGCGAGAAAACGACAACTGGAGCTAGTAGTAGTATCAAGACATATATAGTTAAAACAGGCAAACGAAGGACGAGAGAAACTTTCAGCTCCCGTAGGAGCAGCCGACGCCTCGAAAACTTTCTTTTGCTGCTCTTCTTTTCCTGTTCGAATCAAGCGACCCAATAGTCTGGAACCGGGACGGTCATTATTATCTCGATTACGAGCCGGACCAACAGGAGGAAGAGGAGAAAGAGCCAACCAAGACAGGGCACACAAGGGGCAAGAAGTGAAGGGAACCAGGATGAACTCCCAATCGACGCAGGAAAACCTTGAGATATGATTGAACTCGTCATCGTGCGAGACAAGCCAGCCAGCCGATACTCATGCCCTTTCCATTTGGTCAATCAGGCCCCAAATCGGACTGCGCGCGCATCTGATAGGCTGCGATGGCTGCACGTGCTGCATGCGATGAGCTCATTTGCTCGCCGCCGGATTAATCTGCCTATTGGAGTTTGGTTTCAGGATGAACCCGGTTCCGATGTGAGAGAAAGAGGAAAGGTAGGGCCAGACCGCCTTTCGCCGCCCCCTCAAGGCAATCCCGAGGTTTGATGTTTGATGTTTGGTCGTTGTCCCGTGGATAACCTGCCCGGCTTGGGTAATTACCCCTGTTGAGGTGGGCGACTTGCCTGGTTCGCGATATTGAATGTTGCATGTTGATGTTGATGTTGTTAAGCTGACATTAAACATTGTCTTACAACTTTCGAAGCCCATGTGGGTGATGCGCCCGTCGCCTTCCCGCACACCTTGCATCCATGCGTCCAAAACAGACCCTTGCGCCCACCGTCAGTCAACGCATGGATAATCCGCGAGCTTTCCTGAACGGGTGGAATCCTGCATATTCGTCTCCGGGGCAAGATCTCCATGATTCTACTGTTTGTTTGGTATGGATTACGAAGCGCAAGATAAGCGTTTGTTTCACTTTGAGATAATAAATAATTCATTTGGATATCTTGGTTTATTAGATAGGAATACATGCAGGAGAGGCCGTGTTACCAGCGCTCTCAATCCATGATCATATTCGTTTCATTTCCACCATCCATCTTCGTATCAACCCCTGAGGATAGGGCCCAAATCCAGTGGTTTCCCATCACACATAAAGAGGCTTCTTACCAGCCACCACGGCGGCCCTCGAAGCGGTCAGGGGGAGGGAAGCGGCCGGGGTCGAACTCGGGGGCACCGTGTCCGCGCTCGTAGTGCTCTTCGTACATGTGGTGAGCGTTCTTCTTGGCGTGCTCGCGGGCCTTGATCTTGTCGACTTCGTCCAAGCCCTTGGTCTCGGCGAGCTTGTCGACCTCAGCGCCAACAACGGCGGCAAGGGCCTCCTTGGCGAAAGCGTGGCTGACGGGCTTGCCTATAGGTCAGGTGTGGTTAGCATGGCAAACTTCACGTGGCTGAAATGGTTCTGAATGGGGCATGCGTACCCTGCTTGCGCTGGTGGTCCTCCCAGGCCTTCATGCCAGCGAAGGAAGCGGCACCGGCAAGGAGCTCGTGGGACAGGTGACCCTCGTGCTTGTTCTCGTACACCTGACGGTGAGCGTCGTCGGATTGATCTATAGATCCATGTCAGTTACTGGAGGCCCTGATAAAACGTCGTGTTGGTGAAGGCACGAGGCCAAAGACAAGACAGGGGAACCTTGTCAGGCCAGATGGAAAGGTGGAAGTGTAAGAGGGTATGTAACTTACCCCAGCCCCAGGCCATGATGATTGATGTATGAAGTAGTAAAGGGTTTTAGGTAGAGTAGGAAGTAGAGTGGTTGATGGGAGAGAGAAGAGAAGGTCTCGATGGGAGGGGATAGAGCATCTTATATATGTGCTGCCTAGACAACCCTACTCAGCATCTTCAGCTTTCTTGGGGCGCCCCTCCATCGACCATCCTCAGAGTGCCCCACCGTCTATCTCACGGAAATGCATCGAAAGTCTTTGGGGGGCGTCGGATAAAGAACAATATGGTTTGCTCCCGACTGTGAAAGGGTGGATCGAGGGGAAGATCACATCCAGTGAAGGGAGTGGACACAGGCCAGCTGAAACTGCGCAAAGGAGGCAGCGCTTCGAGGGGATAGATGGATCGGGATTTGATTGGAACAGATCATCGCTTAGACGCTACGAGACCGAATAAATGAGCGGTAGTGAGGGCGAGAAGCACCCAGCCACAGCCTCGTGGAGCGATGTGATGGGCACGGAATTGTCCAGGAGGGGCAGTCGAGGGGTAAGTTACTAGCCTCAATAAGTTGAAACATCAGGTTCCAATCATGTAAGAGGAATGGTGTATCTCCGGTTGGGGTTCCGTGGTCACTTTTGGGTGAGCATCGATCCTGTGCCCCTCTTTGTCAATTCTTACGGCCGAGGCCGAATTGTCTGCACCGCGTACAGGCTACAATGGTGATACTGATAGGCTACCACCATCTATCTAGTGAAGTGTTCCTGCTGTCGTTTTGGGGGCCATGCAGATGCCCTTGCGTGTTCTCCTGCAGGCCAGTTGGAGTCCTCACGGCTTGGAGCAACGACCATCCGGATCATCGCCTGAGCAGAGTGCGTACGTACGCGTCCAGGGTCGGAACCACGATGTTATTGCTGGGCGACTGGGTCGAGATGGGGATCTCCTCAGCCTTAAGTCTGGGCGAATCCATTTTGGCCCATTTAGCGCCGCAGCCACAGTTTGCCCAGGCTTGGCGGGCGCGAGATGAGCCGGTCGACCCGGTCAGCTTCTCGTCTTGGTGAGGCTTGTCTGAATATCAGGTGGAGGGTGAGTGATTCCCCCGCCTTTTGGCTGATATCTGTAAGTCTATCGACGGAGTATCGGGGTAAAGCTGTCACAGACAAGTGTCAGGGACTTAGTCTCAAACACTTTCAGCCGGCTGGAGAGCCTCCAATCTTCACACCTAAAACTGGGATTCTATTTTGGGGCTTCGGACAATCGGGCGAGTGGGCAAAAAGTGGTGGAATCGGTGGAATCCCCCCACTGCCATTGCCCGATCTGGTCATTTCCTCAATAGTGCGAAAAGTAATGCCCCTCACTGTGGCGCAGTTTCATCCCACCGCGTGGTGGCGGTGTGTGGCTTGGCTAAATACCTTCTGTCTTTTCTCCAAAATATCTACTCTGTACTAATAATATCCCTCAATTAATGGCATCCGCCTGCCGAGAATATTATGTCGTCATAGTCGGTGATGTGTTGTTTCACTTAGCGCTTGAGGAGTTCGGTGAGTGTACTCCGTAGTCAGATAGAAAAGTATGCTATTCATTGCCTCATTTGCGTGATATCTTCGGCTCCGGGAAAGTGGTCATCCGGCAATAAATATACTTTTCAACATGTGAAGTTAATGTCCTCCAATGATGTGCATATGTTGTATGACGAGACACACATGATTCTGGCATATGCAATAATCCTGTGCACGCATTCAATGGAATAACTGTCAGTGAGGGTGGAAGTTACTTAGAAGCATGTCTCTTTTCAACTCGCTGCCTTACATGGTCTGATCGACTATGTTAGTCTGTCTCTTCCATACCTTTTGAGTAAAATGATCAATTGGTAGCCTGTAATACACTCATATAAATACATGAGGGTATTAGGATGGAGACCATGGAATATTGCGAATTTATGACAGTCATGGCAGTTTCAAATATACTCTCTCAGTATTCAATCAATCCTAGCAATGTTAACACTGCGGCCTTTAATCCGTACCAAGTAGACTGAAGTAGGTTATATGATATTACTATACGCGACTGCAGTAGAGAAAGTGCTATGCTACTGCCAGTGATATGAAAGAGCACCAAATTCAGACCTACCATGGCAATTTGTTCCTCTCCACTACTAATCGTTGCATTTAACAAAATCTTGTACTATTCGTTCAGTATGCTCGATTGGGCTCCGAAAGGCTATTTCTTGATAATCTCTAGAACATCGGTAAAAAATGATGAGAACAGAAAGCAATGCGAGGAAGTTAAGAGGGCTGGGAACTCGGGTTGTGAAGAACGAGATACAAAGTAGGTAAAAGACATATCAGATCAATGTGTGGACTCCTCGCATGAAGGCTGGCAAAACCATACCAACTAGGTCCGGACACTAATCCATGCATAGAACTATATCCTCTCGAGCGAATATCATGTAGACTTGGCTACTTTCATCTCATGGCTTCTTTTGAACAAGAGACCTAATCTGAGTTGAACCACACTAGTGTGTACATTAGGTATAAACAAGTGAGCGCCCTTAGACTGACGGAATAAACATTTGTATTGAGTCAACTATCAATTAGTATAGTAGTTTAAACCTGCACACATGCGTCTTCGCAGACTTCCATACAATTAATTGGACCAACAGAACTGTCCCTGATGCACTAGTCCCAAACAGGCAACTAACTGCTTGAGCTTCCAAACTTCAACCAACATTCTTCTATCACACTTCTACAATACCACTTTCCTCTGCAAGACTCTGAACTATACACGCAAACCACATACTATACACAGAGTACCCTAAATTTACCTCATTATATCCTTCACGAACCATCTACAACAACTACAACCACAACCACAAATACAACAACACCGAACCAACCCCGCCAACCTCAATACATCTACCACCACAACCACAACCACAATATCACACCAACCACGGCCTACCCCCCCCCCCTCTAAAACCACCCACCAAACTACCCAACTCAAATCCAACCCAAAATGCCACCTACCCCCCCAACCCCCTCGCACTTCCCCCCGCACCTAACCCTAACCATCACGCCCCCCTCCACCAGCACCTCCCCCAACACATCCCCCAACATCCTCCTCCTCCTCCACGGCCTCGGCGACACAAGCCAAAACCTCACAACCTTAGCCCGCGCCCTCAACCTCCCCGAAACCACCGTTCTAACACTCCAAGCCCCCACCCCACTCCCCTTCGACCTGGGCGGCTTCCACTGGGGCGACGACATCACATTCAGCCCTGCAGGGGACCTGGACATGGACGCCGGATTCACCCGCTCCACGAATACCATAATCAACGAGGTGATTGTCGACACATTGTTGAAGAAGTGCGGGTACCGGGGTAGGGATATTGTGGTGTTTGGGATCGGGCAGGGCGGGATGGTGGGGTTGGAGGTTGCTAGGCATTTCAAAAACTCCTCCCCTCAGAGGGAAGGAAAGGTGGACGAGGAGGAGCTGGGAGGTGTGGTGTCAATTGGGGCGCCGGTGGGGTTATCTGGAAAGGCACCTGCGTCTGGCAGTGGGAAGAGTAGGACGCCAGTGTTGATTGTTGCCGGAAAGGAAGATGGAGGGGAGAGGAGTACGGCGGTTACTGCGGCGGGGGTGAGGAGGACGAAGGAGTGGTTTGAGTTTGTGGAGGTGAGTAGGTATAAGAGGCGTGGGGATGGGATGCCGAGGAATGCGGAGGAGATGAGGCCCGTGATGGAGTTTTTGGCCAGGAGGTTGAGGAGTTATAAGGGGGTGCCGGAGGGGAGTATTGAACTTAGTTGAATGATTAGGTGAATACGGGGTGGAAGATGGGTTGTATAGATGTGGAAGGTGGATGATGAGTCTATTGTACATGACATGCTTAAACTAGATACCTATCTGCTGGCTACTGGACCTCCTTCAGAGCTGTGCGTGCGCGCTCGATCGTCTCTCTGGCGTCCTTCTCCGCCGTCACTTCTTCGACTTGTCGGCCACCCTCGCGGGCGGTCTCGCGCAGCTGCGTCTCTGTTTCCAGCAGCGCGGTGCGGCCGTCCTCGCGTACCTCGTCCTCAAACCAGTGTCGCGCGGACTCCCATTTGCGCTGCTGGTTGCGCAGCGAGTAGATCAGTCCGATAGCGGCCATTGTGCAGGTCTCGTAGATGGTGGCAGTCGGCAGCGAAACGTAGGTTAGCGCCGACAATGCCGAGGTCAGGGTGGTCGTGGACATGCTGAAGAAGACCAGACGCTGCGCCAATGCCTGCAGCGACGGCACTGTCGTCTCCATGAGCCTGCGACGACTAGTCGCGATCTGCGCTGGCCAGGACGTCTGCTCCTCTTGCATGGGAGTCGCATCGGTCAGCCCGGCCTGCTGGAACCGGCCGGCAGTCCAGATGACCTCCTTTTCGGCCTGGCGCAGGTACTTCCGGTCCAGGATCTCCGACGTGATCATCCCGACGTCGTCCACATGCCAGAACAACTTCCACCACGCTAGTCCGCGCCACGGCTTGCTGGCGAAACCTTCCTCGAGTGAGCTGCGGAGTTCCGTGTGCCCGCGCTCCGCCCACTCGGACACAGACCGCTCAAGCACATCGCGAGTCTCCCACGACACAGCGCCGCTTTCTTGCTCCAGCAGCTTCCTCTTCTCGGCAGCGGCGGCACCCGCTTCCGCGGCGTCCAGAAGAGACGTGATCAACGTCCGCAAGGACGGATCCAGCGTCCCTTCCTCAGCCCGGAACGAAGACAACCAGTCCACCACCGGCTGCACACCACTGCTGTTCCAACCGCGTTCGTAGAGCGACGCATTCTGCACCGACTCGCGGAATTTGGCCAATGCCTCATCCGCCTTGTCAATATCCACAAACGCAACCCGGCCGTCGTACTTCTGTGGCTCCGTGACTGCCAGCTCAATAGCCCCAAAGACCGACACAGCTTCCTTCTTCAAGTCCGACCGCGCCATCAACCCGCTATACGCCAGGAATCCATCGACACCGCTACCGCACACGATACTACGATGCACGGGATACCGCACCATATTATGCCGGCCGGAATGCGACGTGCGGATCGTAACCGTAGGCACGAGGAAGGTGTCAGCCGTAAATGGGTGAGACTGAGTAGCGTCCGCGACGCCAGCTGACTCGGCACCTAGTGTCGTAACGAGAATTTCCAAATTGCCCTTTTTCAGGATTGGCGAGGGCACCGAGATCGTAGGAAGTAGATCGTTGGGGATTGTTTCGGAGACTTCACCGTACCTGCATATAAGTTAGTGCCTGCTCCCCATCATACCATGCGTGTTTGTGAGGGTAGACCTACCGAATCAGCAAACCCCTCTCCGTATCTTCACCATACGCATCCAACGCATCCTCCCAGCTCTCCCTCGAATTCAACGGGTCCGCCAACAGCAAGCGAACAAGTCTGCGCGCCGCAGTCGCATCATTCAGACCCAGAACTGCCCGAATGATTAGCATTGCTTCAACCAGCCAAGACACCAATCACTGGCTGACAGAGAAGAGAAAGACCTACCAGCAACTCGAACAACCGGCTTCTCACTCTCCAATCCCCTCAACGCAAGCTGCAACCGACTCAAATTCACCTGTTCTGGCGCAACATCCTTGACCCGGTTCAGAGCTTCATGTAGATCCTTCAATCGGGGAGGTATATGTCTTGTGTGGACGACGGATGTGGTCGCAATGCCGCTACGCTGCAAGGATGCCCATGATTGTTGTTGATGTCGTTGCTGTGGTAGTTGGAGTCGGGTTCGACGCGAGGAGAGGGAGCGGCGCCAGGTGGAACAGGACGGGCAGTAGAAGACTGATGAGGAGGATGAAGAGGAGGAGTCTTGGATCTGCGACAGGCTCTTGGAGAGCGTGCCGCGGAGTTTGGGAGGCATTGACTGCGTGTTTGGTGAAGAGGGATGGGATGGGGGAGGAAGTGGTGGAGGATGTAGGCAGGGCCGGTCGGAGATTCTGGCGCGGGACTTTCGGCGGTCTTGGCGGAGCGTAGCTTATACCTTAGTTTATAATAAGAGGAGGCTATGGAGTCTGGGGTAACAATAATCGACGGTAATCAATTGACTATTTTAATAAACTAGCCTGTACAGTACGAACAGCTTAATTCATGGTGTATCGATTCATCAACTCATGGTCGAGTCGTCACGGACGCTCGATTGCTGTGCAGGAATTACACAAAGCCCCCCGTCCACCTCTCCATTATGCCATACAGTAATCTTTCGCGACAATAGTATAGGAGCTACTCAATTGCAACTGTCACCATGTTCGCGTTTTTTGAGGTGACAGTAAGTGATTCACCCATACACGGAGTAGTTCATACTCCGAATTGCAGTACCTCTGCATGCCGCTTCGAAAGATGCTGGTTCAGATGGAACACCCAGTTACTTCCTAATCGCTCATGCTTCTCGAGAATCCCGAGTAGCATCCCTTTGTCGCCGAGTCTTGCCCGATCCCGCCGACCTGAAACTCGTTAGTATGATAGTCCGAAAACGATCATTCTGCTTCACTTACATGCTAATCCGCCTGGCCACAGTCGCCAGCCCGGCGTCGTTCTCTGCCTCATGATGCGCCCGCTCAAAGGCGATGCGTCTGTCTTCTTCGCTGCGCCGGATGACCTCCTCCTGCGACGGGGGCAGACGTTCGTTTTGCAGATCGACCTTGCGAGCATCTTCGAAGTTGGTAATGGCCTGCTTGATACCCTCCGCTCCAAGCATCAGAGTACCCGCTGGGAGACGACCTCCAGCAGCGGTCTTGAGTTCGGTGACCCGCTCGGATTCTTCACGCAATACCTGGAATACACGCGACAGACGTCCAATGGCAAGGATTTTGTTCTTGATCGCACGTCGCTTGAACTCGCTGCTCTCGATATCCATCGCCGCAGGAGGAGAGGGGGGTGCGGCGGTGGGCGAGACCGACGTGGGGGTATCATCTTCAAGCTCCTCCTTGGAGCAGGTGTTGAGAATGGCAATAAGCATGTCCGTAATCTTCTCACCGACGAAGGGAAGCGACCAGGTGAAGACGTCCATGAAGTTGGGGAGCCAGTACGGGTGAGGCGTGCAGTTAAACTGTCGGATATTCATGACGTTGTTCTCGTATTTCAGGACGGCGGCCTTGTTGTTGTAGACATCCAGGTAGTTGGGAGCGCTGAAGATGGTCATGACACTAGGGAAACCGGTCGTACGTGTCTTGCGGTACATGCGGTAACCGGCATCCTGTGCCTCGTGCGCCCGAATGATGGAGAGAAGGTTGTTCTTTTCGAGAAAAGCGCACGCCGCGGGGTATGAGAAGAAATACGAGCATCCACGGACGCTGTTGTGGATGAAGTAGTCGCCGGTCTTCTCCTGCCCAAAGTCTTCCAAAGGATCGGCCCAGAGGATGTCGCACATCAAGCCATGAGTCGGGGGCTCCCTAAAGCGATCAATCTGTCGCCAAGTCAGCCAGCAGTCCACCAAATGTAGTGTTCAGCCCATGACATACCGCTTTGATATCTTCCAGAGTGTGCAGCTCGGGACTGAGACCTCCGTGGATACAGAGGAACTGCTTGTTCATGACCGCCGCCAGCGGCAAGGAGCAAAACGATTCGATGCATGCCTCGTAGATGCGCTCGCTGTATTTGTGTTTGCACTCGAGCTTGAAGGTGAAGTAGTCCGTCAAGTGCCGACATTCGTGGTTACCCCGCAGGAGCCAGAGCGTATTCGGATACCAGATCTTGAGAGCCCAGAGATACAGGACACACTGTAGCACGCGAGTCAGTAGGTGTGGCAATTACCAGACAGCTTGCGATCACACGAACCTCAATACTGAAGTAACCTCTGTCCACATAGTCACCGAGGAAGAGATAGCGCGTCTCGGAAGGATCTCCGCCGACCTCGAAGAGCTTCATTAAATCGTAATATTGTCCGTGAACATCACCGCACACGGTGATGGGCGCATCCATCTCCAGCAGGTTGGGTTCAGCCCTGAGGAGCTGAGTACCGGCCTGTATGATCCATAGCGCCTGATCTTCAGTGAGACGACCTTCGCGGTAGAAGTGCTGCTTGAGGAACTGCAGGTTGGGCTTAGAAGGGTCTTCACGAGACCAGAACAGGTCGTCCGGCGGGGTGTTCAACGCCGGCGCTTGCACCTCTAAAAGACCATAGAGTGAGTAGGAGAGCGCTCATGCAGCTAGTTAAGTAGAGGGAAGGCAGAAAGAGAAATAACATTGTGGCGTTACCTTTAATTACTCGCTCCATGGTCGACACCTGAGTGCCATCTTCCATAACATGTAACGTAAAGTCGATCTCCGGGACCGGCTTTTTATCCGTCACCGCACGCGCGATAGTGCGATCCATGGTGACTTAAGTGATAGGGAGGACGTAGATCTTGGATCTGGGGAAATCGCAAGAACGTCGTGCCCCGGGGGGTTGCGAGGAGGCGAAGAAAAGGGGAAAGACACCAGCGCGGAGGCCAGTTGTTGGTGGGGGGTTAAGCGGCGGCGGGATTGGATTTCACACGCGAGACAGGCGGAGATCGCGAGGACTGGCCGTTGTAAGGAACAAGCTGGACGGGGGGTCACCAAGAATCCTACGAAGTGGCGATTCCGAGGATGACAAGGGGGAGGGGAGCGAAATAGGGTTAGAAAAATTGAGGCTAAAGCGTGGATCAGGGACAAGGCGAGAGGGACGAGCGAAGAGTGAGGGAAGATGGAGAGAGAGAGGCGCCGGGCAGTGCAACCCGAATAGGAGAGATGGTCGGCCTTCAGCTCGATATCGTCAAGGCTGGAGAATAATAAGAGGCTGAAAAAGACTGCCTGACCACCGATTCTGCAGAGATACGCTAGAAAAGATGATTCGGAAGAATAAGCCAATTATCGTGTAAATTAGAAACTACTAAGTAACTAGTTCCCCCTCTTCGTATTCAAAGATTCATTTAATCTAATCTCTTTCTCTTCATTGCAAGAAAGAGAGACTCATTCGACGTCAGACCAACCGTAATTACGGTAATTCTCAGCCGGCGGATCATTCCCGCTTCGTTACAGTCCCTGTAATTAATTACGCCGTCCGCGGGGAATCTCA